CAGTTTAATAACAGATTCAATACAGATTCAGTTTAATAACAGATTCAATCACAGATTCAATACCAAATTCAATTTAAAATTATAATAACATATTTAATTCCAATCACAGGTTCAATAACACAGATTTAATAAAATTACAATAAAATTGAATAACAGATAAAATTATAATAAAATTGAATAACAGATAAAATTATAATAACACAGATTCAATCACAAATTGAATAACAAATTTAATTCCAAACAGAAATGAACAAATAAACTCCAATTAGAAATGAACAGATTTAATTCCAAATAGAAATGAACAGATTTAATTCCAATCACAGCTTTAATTCTAATCACCATTGAAACAAAATCTTAATCACACAAACAAAAATGAACAAATAAACTCAGAGATCCGTTGTTACAAAAAAAAAAAAAAGACTCTTTTGATTGCATAAACATATCTGATTGCCTAACAAATAACATATATGATTACATAAAAATAATAGATTTGTTTGCGTAAACAACTAGCAGATCTGATGCATAAAAAAAATTTAGAGACCACAGAGAGAGAGAGAGAGAGAGAGAGAGAGAGAGACGGACAGACATAGAGACAGAGGCTTATTTGTGAGGTCGATCAGTACGATGAGAGAGTGATTCAATCGATAGATCTTGCGATGAGAGAGAGTCGATCTTGTGAGGTCGATCGGTGCAGATAAAAAATGACAGAGTGAGAGACTAATGAGATGAGAGGAAAGAAATAGAGAGAAAAAAAGACAGAGATAGAGACAGAGACAGAGACTTACATGTGAGGTCGATCGGTGTGATGAAAGAGTGAGTTCGATCGATCGATCTTGCGATGAGAGAGAGTCGATCTTGCAAGGTAGATCGGTGTAGATGAAAAACGAGAGAGTAAGAGATTGATGAGATAAAATGAGAGGAAAGAAAGAGCTGCGTCGTTGAGTTTGAGAGATTAGATTAGATTGGGGTTTTCTTAGTTTTGTTTGTTATAGATGAAGTGAATGAACGGTCCAGATTTGAAATGAAAAAAAGAAAAACAAAAAAAAAAGGGTTAATACGGGCGGGTTGTGCGGGTACAGTTCAAATCCGCAATTCGTCCGTAACTCGGAAATCAGCCAAAATCCAAATCGCACCCGACCTTAATATATTTGCGAAACCGCTCATATGTGTGTGGGTTGAATCAAGTAGAACGGTTTGAGCGGGTCAGATAACCCCATGCTCAACCCTAATTAATATCCTTATTATCAAGTTAATTAATTATAATTGGTCAAAACATTAAAAAAAATTTAACTAATGCAAATGTCCATTCATTAAAATTGATATGAATTCGGAAATAATTCAATGCTAAAACTCAAATCGAATGTCACATTAGGTAGAAGAGGACTTTGTCAATCAAATCTAATCCTTTCATCTCAACATTTAATTTAATTTAATTTAAATTATATATATATATGTAGAAGAGGACTTTGTCAATCAAATCTAATCCTTTCATCTCAACATTTAATTTAATTTAATTTAAATTATATATATATATATGAAATGAATTTAAGAAACTCTGGCTCCATTGCAATTAATTATTAAATTTGAAATCTATAGAAAATAATTCAACAAAAAATAAATCAATAATTAAACTACAATTATTTTTTCTTTTTCTTTTTATGGATAAAAACTATGGCAACTACGTATCAATATGTTTGTATGAGTTGTGCAATTAATGTATAATAAATAGTTGCTAGATGCAAAATTAATTACAATATTGTGCGGGGAGCAAATATTCGGGGAGCAAATATTCCGGCAAGCCCGTACTCATTTCTTCCGAACTTCGTTTCTGTCCGATCACCTGCGAGCAAATAACGGTGAGCTACCCGGCGGTGTGTGGCCGGAAAAATCCTCCGACGATCAAGTTAGCGCACACCTTAGGATAGAGAGAGAGAGAGAGGAGTGTTTGAGTGTAAGAATTTCCTTACGAAGTGTTCCTCTGTCACGTATGGGGGGCGCAAACATGCTTATATACCCTTCTGCGCCCCAAATCTACTCCCATTGGTCTCTCGACATGTGGCTCTGTTATCCCATCTGTCAGCACAAATCTTGCTATACATCACCTAATCCAACTGCCAGCCCACTCTGTTGGGGGCACGGTAGCCGGGCAATATTGTCTCGGCTATCAACGGCCATACCGAACATGCCCAAGTGCAGTTGATGTAGTTTCCTACTACCGGGCTTAATTCCAGCCGTGCTCAACTGTGTTCCGGCGAAGCCGAGCTGGAGATTGGTGACGCCGGTCAACCAAAGACCTTCTCGGCCAAGCTCCAAGCACAGGCATTCCTACCGGGTTAAGGTGCGTGCATTACAACCTTGCAACGCGTGAGCCGGGGAGCCTCATCTAGGCTGTTCCTCCACCTGTCCGGCCTTCGCGGAACCGAGATCAGATAACTCGGTTCCACGTGGGCTTTGCCATTACCGAGCAATATCACGGCCTGATCTTGGAGCCCAATACCTCGGCCCAAATCTGTCCGGCTAACGTCATGGCCCAATCTCAGATCATAAACCTCCCTCTCAAATATAATAAATAGGAACTATGTACGTATTGAGAAATTTTTGGGTATAGATAGGATAGGTATTATGTGATATCTTTCTCTTTTCTCATTGATTGAGAGAGTAAATGTCACATTTATGTGTTGGGTGATGAAAAGATAACATGAGAGGCCATATTGTTCTCTCATTGATTGAGAGAGTAAGGACTACATTTATGTGTTGGGTGATGGAAAGACAACATGGGAGGCCATATTATTTGTGATTGGTTGAAAACACCATATGACATGACATATGATACTGTATTTGCACCCAAAATTTTTTCATGCCTTGGAATCATTAAATTTGCTTAAAATATCAACTTTTGAGTTTTTTGAATTAAGTTTTTTGAAAATTGAGTTTTTTGATTTTCGTGTTTTTTTGTTTTTAGTGAATATTTTTAAAATTTTAAACATTTTTTTTACTTTTTTAGATGCACCTTACTTAGATGCATCTAAAAAGTAAAAAATTTGTGCAAAAATATTTTTAAAAATTAATAAATACATAAAAATATAAAAAATATATTGAATTCTTGTATTTTTTTTTTGTATTTTTGGTATTTAGTGAATTTTTAAAAGGTTTTTTTCAATTTTTTTTTATCTTTTTAGGTATATTTATGTTGGGTATGTCTAAAAATTTTAAAAATTGCTCAAAATAGTAAAAACAATAAAATACAAAAAATAAAAAAATAATTTTTTTTGAAAAGTATTTTTAAAAAATGATAACCAAACCTAGTGAATTTTTTTACTGGTAAAATGACAAAATTGTGCGCCTGTTGGGCTGGATTCAACCAAAAAAAAGAACTTCCACTCTAGCATCTTTGTCAATGGGCCCACTAGCTTCTCTGCTTCTTAAATTTACGAAACAAAAAGTCAAAATTCTACAATTAACCCATTTGCTTAAATCCTTTTCACTACGAGTCTATAATCTACTTTTTTGTGTGTGTGTGTGTGTGTGTACTTAAATACGTACCCTTTTGGTTTTACTTGCAATGTATCAATTTTTTTAGAGAATTGTATATTTCATAGATTTTCGTAAATATTGGTTTCATAAGGGGTATGGTAAAAATTATGTAACTATTTAAAATTTAAAATTTTTTATTTTTTGTTGGACATACAATGTGAAAAACTAATAAATCAAAAAGGTAGAACACTCCTATATAATCAACGGCTGCACTTATTTATACAATGAATGTAAACTTTATGCTAATTGCATGTGACACATCATTATTATTATACCAAAGTCTCTATGTAAATGTATATTAAATTGTAAGCCATAACTTTCATATTACTTGAGTGTGTTTTGAAAAAACTCAAATGAAAATGGAATATTCCCTTTAAAATGTTTTAAAAAATGGAGTCTTTTTTTGCACAATTCTCACTTCTACTCCATTATTTTGTAATTATTTTATTAAAATTTTCCATTTATATAATATTTTCTTTTTATCCACTACATAAATAGATACAATAATTTTTTTTTTTTTTGGGTACTGTTTTTTAAACATGCAAATGTTGGAAAATGTAGGAAAATGCCAAGAGTGGGGTGATATTGGGCATTGATGTCTCACAAGTAGGCAGCCTATTAAACTCTGGTTAGGCAGACCGCAGACAATCCAAAACCCTCCAAAAATAAATATGCAATAAATAAGAAATAAAAAAAGGAATGATAAAAAAGGAATGATATTTATTTATCAGGAAAAAAAGGACTATACACAAACACGTTTGGGGTCGTGATTGGTCTGCTGCAAACCGAACTACCACTTCATAGACTTTGGATCACCACTCCCCCAATCCGACCTAGTATTAGGTGGTGTTTGGGAAGCAAGTTCTCAAATTTTTTTCTCATTTTTTTACTAAAAGATAAAAGTTTTGCAAAATAAAAAAAAAAACACATTCAAAGAAAATATCACATTCAATCTCATAATCATTTCACTTTTTTTCTCACAAACATCACATCTAACCATATAAAAATCCAACTATCTTCCCAAATACCAAAAATTTTTTATCTCATAAAAACCTACATCTAATAAAATCTACATAAAAACTCACTTCCCAAACACCATCTTTGTGTTTTTGGTTTGAATTTTTTAAAAATATAAAAAATGTACTAAATTCTTGTTTTTTTTTTTGTATTTTTGGTATTTAGTAAATTTTTAAAAGATTTTTTTTCAATTTCTTTTACTTTTTAAATATATTTATGTTAGGTATGTTTAAAAATTAAAAAAATTGTTAAAAATATTACAAAAAATTTAATAAAAATAAAAAAATACAAAAAATAAAAAAATAAAATTTTCTTAAAAATATTTTTAGAAAATGATAACCAAGCATGGTGGTTCAGAGTAGCCACCACCGTTTACTTTTCAAACCGAACCAAAGGACAATTTCGTAATATCATTCAAATCAAAGCCACTATTTAAACTCAAAACTCTTGATAGATTAATCCCAAATGCACCACAACCATCGATCACTCGCCGGGGAAGAAGAAGAAGTTGATCAAATAGCCACCGCCACTGCCGCCCCCTAAATTTAGACCCATTACTTTCTCTCTCCAAACCCCAATCATCAATTCAACCCTTCTCTATTTATATATATACAAACATATACATTTCTTGAGAGAGAGAGAGAGAGAGGAGAGAGATGGGGTCGGAGTTGATCTACAGGGGTCACGAGACCCAACCCACACCCGACACGTACTCGCCGAAGCCTCACAAGCCATGGGTCTCCGTGATTCGTCCGATTCGTTACATGCTTCGAGAGCAGCGACTCGTCTTCGTCCTCGTCGGCATTGCCATCGCCACCCTTGTCTTTTCTCTCCTCCCCTCCTCCTCTAACAACCACGATTACACCCCGATCTCTGACTCGCACTTTCCCACCGAGTCAACTCAGCTTACCCACCGGTTCTTCTACCAGGGCCATGGCGGGTACGGGTCGATGAATTCGGGCGGGAAGGTTCCGTTGGGGCTGAAGAGGAAGGGTTTGCGGATCGTGGTCACGGGCGGGGCTGGGTTCGTGGGTAGCCACCTCGTGGACCGTCTGATCGCGAGAGGAGACAGTGTGATCGTCGTTGATAATTTCTTCACGGGTCGGAAAGAGAACGTGATGCACCATTTTGGGAACCCGAGGTTCGAGCTCATCCGACACGACGTCGTTGAGCCACTTCTATTGGAGGTGGATCAGATCTATCACCTCGCTTGTCCCGCCTCTCCTGTTCATTACAAGTTCAACCCTGTCAAGACTATCATATCCTTGATCATGAAATCAATTTTACTTTCTGAATCTGTTTTCTTCTATTTTTGTTTTTGGAATTTCTTAATTCTGGGTTTTTCACAAGACAAATGTGGTGGGGACTCTAAACATGCTTGGGCTGGCAAAGAGAGTCGGTGCACGGTTCTTGCTAACGAGCACCAGTGAGGTGTACGGTGATCCCCTGCAGCACCCTCAGGTCGAGACTTACTGGGGCAACGTCAATCCAATCGGTGGGTCAGGTTTTTCCTACAGTAAATTTTTTTGAGCAAAAAATACCAATTAATGATAGTAGTTTCAACAAAGATTCATGAAAATTTTCCATTTTTTGCTGGCTGGTATATGACAACATTCGCCGGCGAGTCCGTACATGCTGAAGTTAGCAGCGCCATGAGCGTGGCGCTTAACATGCACCGTAGATAGAAATCTAACGCTCGTATGTTTTTTAATAGGAAATGTTTCCTTACCGTCCGTAATTGGATTGGAAGTTGCTGTTGGTCCTGGTAATTCAAATTGTTTAATTGGTCAAATTTATTGGATATTTTATATTTATAGAAAATTGTATTGATCGGATATCGATAATTATGTAATTAAATTAAATTTTTATAAATTTTTTATTTTTATTATTTATTTATTTATAAAAAATTAATTTAATTACATAATTATTAATATTTAATTAACGGAAAATTTTTATAAATATATAATACGTAACGAATTTTATATATTAAATAATTTAAATTATTTAAACGGAACGTGTGGACTACGGAGCAACAGTATCCTCCAATACGGAGTGAGGAAGCCATTCCCTTTTTAATAATTGAGCCACGTGGAGAACAGTGATTAGGATATGACCTAGATCTCGGTCCGGGGGTGGAGGTGGAATAGTCAAAGGGATGGGATGAGTTCCCGTGATTAGGGGTGGGACCACTAATCCGACGGTTGAGGTTTACTTGGATCTGGGGGGTATATTTGTAAAGAGGGGTGTATTTGTAAATGCAGTCGCGGGGGCACACGTTTCGAGCGTGAAGTCCCAGATCTGAGACGGAGTTCGCGGTGATTATAATTGTTGTGTGGTGTGCGTGTGTGGTCCTTGAATTGAAACTGACGTGGGTGGGTTTGGACGAGGACAGGTGTTCGAAGTTGTTACGATGAAGGAAAGCGTACCGCCGAAACTCTGACTATGGACTACCACCGAGGTGCTGGTGTTGAGGTTTGTTTGTTTGTTTGTTTGTTTTTTTATTATTATTTTTTATAAGTTACTTAAACTACAAGTACTTCTTATAAAGATTTTAATTTGGTTAAGTTTGGCTAATCTTAGATAAGGTGTCTTTAGGAAGAGCTCATTTGAATTCTTTTGGTTTTTTTTAGTCACAAAAGACAGAATAAGTTATTTGAGTCACAACAGACAAAACATCACATTTAATCCATAATCATTACACTCCTCTCTCATCAAAAAATTTAAAAAAGCCAAAAAATCAAAAAATTCTTCCCAAACTAAGCTTTTGAGCCCAGGCTCAAATAGTCAAAAAAACCAAAAAGCCAACCCACTTTCCAAACGGAGGCTATGTACATATTTTTTTATTTTTTTATCTTTTTTTTATCATATCACCTCTTTATTTTTTTACATATCTTTTCGTAAAAAGACAAAAAATACATTTATTTAGGTCATCCCAAACAATCCCTTAAAATACGAATTATTTTTTATAATTTAAAAAATTATAAATATTTTTTTAAAGAAATTTTTATGATAATTTTTTTTTAACTGCTCTCTTATATAATAATAAAATTATTTAAATTATTAATTAAAATATATTTATGATATTATTAAAAATTATTAACTAACTTAATAATTTATTCATAAAATGACTAATTGTTATCAAATTGGAAACGTTGAAGACGTGATGTAATTTTAAGAATTACATTAAGAGCTCATTTGACATAATCTTTTTTGGGGCTTTTGGCTAATTTAGTCTTAAAAAAAAAAAAAAAATTAAATTTTTTAACTTAATAAGACAAAACATCACATTCAATTTATAATTATTAATATTTTTTTCTTACAAAAGTCAAAAAAATCATCCAAAACGAGATTTTTTAACCTCAGGCTAAAATAATTAAAAATTCAAAAAGTCAAAAAATCAACTCACATCTTAAACGAACCTTTAGGGATTTGTATTTTAAGAAAAATTCAAGGGTGTATTTATAATTTACCGTAAAACTTATTACTATTATTAAACAATTAAGGCAGGTAAATACTACTACTTACCATGCATACCTAATTATTTATTTGTTTGGTATTTTTTTGTATTTATTGATGAGTGAATGAACAAGGAATGCATGAATGTGTACAGGTGAGGATTGCAAGGATATTCAACACATATGGGCCAAGGATGTGCATTGATGACGGTCGTGTTGTTAGTAACTTTGTTGCTCAGGTTGGTTGCCTACTCCCTCTCTGATTTGATAAAAATAAATATTAATGTTGTGTTTGGTAGGAAGATTTGAGAAGGGATTTGGAAAGGAAAATAAAAAAAGTACGTGAGATGTAAATAAAATATAGTTATATTTTATCTAGTTTCATGCACTTTTTTTTCATTCTCTTTTCAAATTCATCTCCAAATTTTTCAACAAACACGGTGTAAAAGGACATTTTTGAAATTTCAAAAATGGTTTCCACTCTGAAAAAATATAGTTATATTCTAAAAACTAGACCAAACATAATGGGTAAAAGTTGGATATGGCTACTTTGTAATGTGAGATTAGATATGAATTGTGATGATAAGTAATTGTAAAAATAGCTTGCTTGGTTCTATTTTTTCAAAAACACTTTTTAGAAAATTCTACTTTCTTATTTTTTATTTTTTTTTGTTTTATTGAATTTTTTTAATATTTTAAACAATTTTTTTTATTTTTTAGACACACCTAATATAAATACACCTAAAAAGTAAAAAATTTGTAAAAAAATATTTCACAAATTCACTAATTATCAAAAATATAATAATTCAGTATATTTTTTGTATTTTTATGTATTTATTAATTTTTTAAAATATTTTTTACAAATTTTTTATTTTTTAAATATATCTAAGTAAGGTGCATCCAAAAAAGTAAAAAAAATGTTTAAAATTTTAAAAATATTCATTAAAAACAAAAAAACACAAATTTTAAAAAACTTAATCTAGAAAACTCGAACCAAACACACTGTGGGACTAATGGGTTTGCTAAAAAATTCCTACAACCTTATTAGTTTAATGTATTGACTTTATGTCATTCTAATGATATTGGTAATTTATCTTAGACTGATTAAAAAGAAAGACAAGTAATTGTTATGGCTATGACTGCGCAGGCCCTAAGGAAGGAGCCGTTGACGGTGTATGGTGATGGGAAGCAGACGAGGAGTTTCCAATATGTTTCTGATTTGGTATGATTTTTTATTTTTGTTTCTTGGATTTTCATGAATAAAAAAATTTTATTTTGAATTTGGGTTTTCAAACTTCGACAGGACAAAATAATGTTTTATATATCTACTTTTTTTTCTTTTTTTACATTCTTTGATTTGTTTAACTGGTTTCTTTCTGTACATTTGAGTGAATTGCCAACATTTGGATCATTCCCACCCACCTTTGCAAATGTATTTTTACCCCCAAATTTTATTATAATCCCCAAAACTGGCATTATTGAAAGCAACTTGTAAATGAATAAATAAAAATTAGCTGCATAGATTCAAAGTTGCAAATAAGATAAAATGGACTTTTCAAACTGTTATGGTGGGTAGTAATTACTATCTATTAGGGGTGTTTATTTCAGCTTTTCAAAGCTAACTTATGGCTTTTTGTTTTGAAAAAGTTATTTTGGACTGTTTGGTTAAACTTATTTCAAACAGCTTCTGATTTTAATAGTTTCTGATTTTAATAGCTTATTTTACCTCAAAAAAATTAATTCTGAGAAGCTGCTCATCCCTTGCTTCTGATTATCAGTTTTTGCTGTGTACATGTTAATTTATAGTTATACTCATAAATTTTTATATTTTTTATTTTTTTAAAAATAGAAAAAGACGCAAATGGAATATAGATTATTATTATTATTTTTTTATGAGAAATGTAGACAAACAAAAAATAAAAATTAATTGAAAAAGCTATTTCACAGCTTATTTAACAAACACTACTCAGCAACTTAAATCTATAATCTAATAGTTACACCAAACAGATTAACAACTTCTGATTAAAGTCATAATCTATAAGCTGTTTTAACAGCTACACCAAACGGGACCATTAACGTATGTAATTGTGAGTATATTATATATTTCATAGATCTGAGGTTGAAATATTTTAATTTTGACATAATATGTACTTGATATTGATACCATTTCCCGATGATATCTCTGGTTGATTTTTTGTGTTTGATTTGGAAGGTGGAAGGTCTGATGCGGCTAATGGAAGGAGAACATGTAGGACCTTTCAATCTTGGAAACCCCGGTGAATTTACCATGCTCGAACTTGCTCAGGTAGGGTATATTATCAGTATTTTTTTTACTAAAGGGTCTCTGGGTGTGCTCGCCTTTCCTTATTCACATCTCTATTTCCATTAACTTAAATTTGTTTTATCCATTTATCTGTTATAATATGTTTTTGGGAGGAAATAAGAACTTCACTGGATTAAATTATCTAAATTTTGAAAAAAAATACAGAATTCTCTGAAGTGTGATTGTGACGCAACTTCCCCCCCCCCCCAAAAAAAAAATAATAATAAATATAAAAATAAAGGAAAGATAGAAAAAAACAAGTTGTAAATTGTTAGGAAGTGTGTGAGGTGTGACATATCACACGAGATATTTGCTTCCTCTGTCAAGAAAGTTGCTTTTATTTTTTAAAATTTTTTATTTACTTTAGCTGGATATTAGAAACATGAATGAACCGTGTTATACAAAAATCTAAACGATAATGATTGTGACTGCGATGGAAAATTTGTTTTAAAACAAAAATACAAAAAGAAGATACAAAGAAGAATTTCCCATATATGAATTCATACTGGGGAATACGGAAAATTGAGCTAGATGTCACCTCTCACCAAAGTCTATAGGGATAGGTTATAAAACTTGAGGCTAATAGAAGAATCTAGAATTTCTTTGAACATTTAAGAGAATGGTAGAACTTGTACATAGATCTAGAAGTGTATCTTTTAAAATAAGACATTTGAGAATATGTAGGAAGGATCTAGAATCCTCTCTGCTCCTACATTTATAGAATGTTCCTTGTAGCCTGTAGAAAGGAGAGAGGCCTGATTTGTTCAAACCATCCAAGTGGATAATCAAAGCATTCTCCACGAGCTTGTCTCTCTAGAAAGTGTAAATATTTTCTAGCTCTTTTCCAACTAGGCTTACTTGGGTGCAAACCTGGTGGGTGTCGCAGCATTGCTTGTATGTGTAAATATTTGGGTGTCAAAGCATTTCTTGTATGTGTTAATATTTTTTAGTTCTCTTTCAAGTAGGCTGACTTGGGTGTCAAAGCATTTAAGGGTTGGTTTGGCATGAACTATATAATCCATCTTTTTATCTTTTTTCCATCACATTACCTCTCTACTTTTCTACACATCTTTTCGTAAAAAGACAAAAAGTGCACTTTTTTAGGACATCCCAAATCAATCTTAAGATTGCACGGTTGACTTAGAAAAATCAATGCCATGACATAGAGCTCTAAACACCATATTATTATGTTGGTGCAGGTGGTCCAAGAGACAATTGACCCGAATGCAAAAATAGAATTCAAGCCTAACACAGAGGATGATCCACATAAGAGAAAACCTGATATCACAAGGGCCAAAGATCTTCTGGGTTGGGAGCCCAAGGTGTCTCTTCGCAAGGGTCTTCCCCTAATGGTCTCAGATTTCAGGCAACGCATCTTTGGCGACCACAAAGAAGACGGTGGTGCCACCACCTCTACCACCATGTCCTCACATTAAGGATGAAGTACAATTTTGAGTGACAAAAGTAGAAGAAAATGAATATTTTCGAGCAAATATAAATTCCAAATCCTTGTGATTGATACAAAAAAGGGGCGACAATTGCAGTAAGATTAAGCCCCACGTTTTTCTCCATTGAATAGTTTTGAGCGGTCTCCCTTAGCATTTTTTGTCTCATCCTTATATTTTATTGTCATATTTGGAATCAGATAAGAAAAAAAAAAAACCAGATGAGAAAAAAAATATCATTTAAATGCTTTGTTATACTTTTTAGATAGCAAGTTTCGCTTGCAAGAATAATTTCTACCCTATCTTCTGTTTATATGTGATCTATAGTACTTGTTGCATTAATTATATTGCTTTTTTGTATTTAAGACCTTTTCTCCTTGCAAAACAGTCAAATTAAATTAAATTTACTTATGTTGGCTTTGAATATTCTAGAAAATATTTGTAATTCTTGTTGCATTAATTGTATTGGCTTTCAATATTCAAGAAAAGATAAAAGAGCAAAGTAGAACACGAAAAACTGAGCACCCAACGAGCAAAAATAAAATCTACTCCCTCTCTCTTAAGCAAAATTGTCGCATTGTTGCTTTGTTTCAGCTGGTTTGTATAAGCACAGAAGCAGCTTAATGATGATGTGATAATAATGTGATTTTTAACATTAAGGCCTTGTTTGGCAAGTGGCTTTTTTAATCAAAAAGTCACTAAAAAAATTTAAAACCAACAATCCATACCAAAAAATCAAAGATTCTCTTCTCTCTACTTTTTGCACATCTTTTCGTAAAAAATTAAAAAGTCATTCCAAACATACTAGTTTTTTTTAGTTCATATTTTAGCCAAACAAACAATGATAGAGACCACTAATTTTGGAGCTCTAAAAAGACCACTAATGACATGACACTCAATAAAATAAAATAAAAATATAACACCAAGGCTAAAATTTCAAATCATTCATGGTGGGACCCACTGCCACATCATTAGTGGTAGCACTAATTAGTGCTCTCACTTATTTTCTTTTAACCAAATAATTAAAAAATTACTAAATTAGTCTGTTCCCAAACGAGGCCTGAGAGCTAATTTGATGGGTTATGTGAAAAACTCCATTGGTACATAAAATGCATACAAAAAAACATTACAAGAATAATGGCCTTATTTGGTTTGTGTTTTCTCAAAAAATTTTGAAAAAAATTATCTACAAATAAGTTTTCAAAAGTGAGAAGCCATTATTATGAAGGCATTGTTATGAATGTTTTATTTTAAAATGAGAGGCCGTTATTAAACTACATCCATAATGAAGTTGTTTGATACAACTTGTAGGGATAACTATAACTTATTCTAATTTGAAAATTTGTGTCAAATTGTTTAATTTAACTTTTATTTATAGCTTATTAAGTAAAAATAATTAAAATAATTTTTTTTTTAAAAAAAAAATTGATTATTTAAATGCTAGGACAGAGATGCATTTAGCTAAAGAAAAAACACAACGAAATAGGGCCAATGACTGATTGCTGGTTGACGACACACCCAACAACCCTAAAATTCAAATCCACACGCACTCAAGTTGGTACACCACTAAATAAAGAGGGAATTCAAAATTCTAGATCTCCAATTTCTGTCCAGCAGTGCCGAAGCATAATTCTACATCTCAGATTCCTAGCCCCATTGTTATGGAGAGAGATACTTTTTAGTACTTGCAATTGGTGCCCCATTTAGTACTCCAGCTCCCAGAAAGCAACAAATCAATTTCATAGACCTCTTTATATTCTAAACTCAGAAGAACGTATATCAAAGAAATTTAAAAACAGCTTTCGATTTTAGAGTTTCCAATTAAAAAATAAATAAATAAATAAAAGTCAGTTAACAGAATGCATATTCTCCAATTTAACAACAATTCATTCAATATGGCTTCTTTAATCCTTGACTAGAACAAAAATCTGAAAACATGAATGGAGGCTAAGCACTCTATGAAAAATAAATTTAGGTGTTTGCTATATAAAAGAAAAAAAAATCCAAATAGTTAGAAGCATCAGGAGAACTTAACAGTAGGGAAGCCGGAAACAAAAACAAATCTCATCAAGTCATACCAACAACCATGGTTCAAGTAAATATAATAATTTCCTCAAAAAAATAAAGAAAAGAAAAAGCATATATAATAATGACTTATACATAAGGCCAGAAATTGAGACTACAAAGGGAACTGACACTCTCCAAAAAACTCCAGAATCCTGTTCTACATCTCCACATGCCCGCCTGCACATACCTGCATCAAACAAGTTATTTATAATAACCACCACTGTTACAAGTTCAAAATATAGCTTCGACTTCTTTTTTTTTTTTTAGCTTCAACTTCAAAATATCAAGTCAAGTAGTAACAGTTAACTCCTAATAGGTGGTCTACAAACCATAGTTGCCCAACACTTCGTCCTTCTCCTTAAATGGACAGACAAGATTGAGCTCTATGAGCATATACAATTCAGAATACAGAGAATGCTAACTTGTATACCAATCAAAATATGTACTTATTTTGGAACCGTCCAAGATACTGTCATCAGAATGCATGTTCTAGTCTTCTACAGAATATATCTAACCTTTTTTATATAAATAAACTATAGAGGCACCATTGGGGTATGACCACTAAACACACGACAAATACAAAACAAAGTTCTCCTATAAAAACTAAAGAAGAACCGCGCAAGTATTTATACTACTATTACAACAAAATATCACATAAAAGAGATCTCTCAGAACATGGATCCAACAAAATTTGAATTCTAAAAATTGTTCTACTTGATCAATGAAAACCATAGTGAAGTGAAGGAGACCTCTCACTTAGGGTTTCTAAGGACAATAATCACTGAATCTCCTCGAAGGAACATCTTGCTAATGAACCGATCTTTATTAACTGGTTGGGCCTTCTTCTTGCCTTTCCCAGTCTTTGGTACCTGACAAACACACAAATTTGAGATGTGCAACTTGTATGGCGGTTGACAATACAACATTAACAAACAAAAATAAAAATATAATAGTTCTTAATGACATAGAACTCACTTCTGTCCACATCTCTCTAACATTTTCTAGGACCATGTTGCAGTGCCGATCAAATGCTCTCACGCGGCCCAGAAGCTTTTTGTTGTTCCTGCAGTTAATAAGCACCTGATTGGTGCAAAAGCGTCAAGGATATATAATCAATAAACAAATGCACCATAAATCCAGTTGTGAGAAGTAAGCAAATTAATACATAAACAATTACCTCGGGGTTTCACAACCCATGTCTAGATAAATGAGAACTCCAGGGACAGAACTAGAGGATAAACAATTTTTTTTTTCAAATTCAACATGCCATGAGGACAACCGCTTTTAGCCATTTAAAGACTATGACCCTTCTATCAAAATTTCATGGGTACAACAACATTATCCTCAATTTACAGGGATGAAAATTATGCATTACCTGTGTGTTGTTTTTAACACTCATCATCAGAACAGAAAGAGGCCCAGTGCTGAATTCCTCTTCCTCATTTTTGACCTGTCACAGACAGTTTCAACAAATTTTATATCATAAAAGGAGCATGGAGGCAGAAACTACAGCAAATAAAAAATGTAAACAATAACTTAAAAAGTCTATTTTAGCAGGAAGATGAAAAATGATGAATATGTCAAATTATACATATATATATATATATATAGCCCTCCCCGTGCAAAAAAATATTACAGTAATTAAAAACAAATTGCTTCCGGCAAATAAAAAATTTAATCAGAAAACACATTCAATACACACTTCACAATAAAACATACATTGACACCCCATCCCTCTTTTTCATTTTTTTCTATAAACAAATCAAGTATTATTTAGTCAATAATTCATCAAATCAAAGGCAATATAAACCATATACTTTGGCAAAATCATGCTGCAGGCCTAGTTAAAATTGACCTTCAACTCAAACCTAGTTGAGCACACACTGGGTTCCCTAAAAACGTGGAAAACAGAAAGTACAAAGAAGGGGATGACAGAAACATCTTCCTAAAAAACGCAAACACAACATATATCCAAATATCAAGCTTTGTGACCCAATGAGATGGAGTTGGGGGAGCAAGTGCTTGCAAAAATGCAAAATGAGGCAACAACAAAGTTATAAATCGAGTATATTTTTGACGAACAATTTGAATATGGGGGAATAAAAGTGGCACACTGCCTCATTTTTTCAATGGCAACCAAAAAGATAAAAAGAATAGTAAAGACTACTCTAAATAAGTGACAAACAAATAGAGTAAAATGAACAAAACTAGCAAAATTATCTTGAATTTTGTTTATAAGAATAAAACATCTTATAATTCTATAATCAATGGAAGATTTCATCATAGCAATGGTTCGATTGATAAAGAAAGAAATGACTATTCTCAATTGAAAAAAAAAAAAGGAGTATTGATACATTGCAAGCATAAAGAAAGATGAAAACATAACTACTACTAGGAAAATAACTGTAAATAAGACGAGTAATCACCTAAGGAATGAAATTGCAAATAATAATAATAAGCAGGACAACTTACAGTGGCATCCTCATCCATTGGACGACTGCAAAAAAACAAAATGCAATTAGTAACTTGCACCCAAGTTAATCATAGAAAAATGATACAGTAACAAAGGTAACACAATTCTCATTCAAAACATAATAGAGCGTCCCAAGTACAGTAATATATCCTTGTTATGGTCATACATTTATTCGAAAACAACTTCTTTTTTTTTCTTTTTCTTTTTTTTTTTTCCTTTTCTGTACTTACCATAAATTACCTTGTAAAACAATGCCATTTTCACATCAAACAACAAATTTCCAGAAAAAGGTTATGCTAACAGCCCTATGATTGTCATTTACAGTGGAGATAATGAGAAAATAATCAGAATTCCAAATCAAACCACATATTCTTAAAGGAATTTCCATACACTTTTCACAAGTACATCAAAACTAATGACGACACATTTGGTGGTCATTAACATTGTCCTTCACGAAAAGTACAGGTTTGCTGAATTTCACTGGATGAATGGGCAAACAGATTTTGATGGCAAAAGAAGATAGAAAATCTCTCTGGGTTTTTCAAGTATGGCAACCAAACCAACTTAAATTCCAAAACCATACCAAATGGTTCTTAATCAGTTGCAAATGGAATCGTGAATCTAAAATATAGCTATTGATAGAAAAATGTATAAATTGTCTTTTTTAAGTTCTAAAGCCAGACACAAGTCGTTAGTTTATTCAACTGTAATACTCCACCACCAATGCCCTCAATAACTTCAAACTATGTTTGCATATTAAGCGTCCTTTCAGTCGTAAATACGAGATTTGCAACCAAAATGCTAATTGGTAACCTAATTACATTGCAAATAAGAAGTGATTATCACAAAATCAGATCAGATCTATAATAAGTGAAAATTAAAGAAGAATAAGGTTGTGGGTTTTGTTTAAAAAAAAAAAAAAACTTGAACATGTTTTGGGTTTGGGGAAAATTAGGACATCATGTTCAAAACAACTTGAAACAGATAAAATGAAGAAGAAAAGTCGAAGATACCTCATATTGAATCAAGCCCAGGATGTAAAACACAATAAACCAGTGAATAAACCTGCAAAAGGGGGGACGAGTTAGGGTTAGTCAACTATTGCAAAACCCTAGAAAACAGAATGCTAGGGTTTAAGAGGAAAAAAATATTTAGAAAAAGAAAAGAAAAGAAGAAATGTTAGTGTTCTTGGTCTACTTTATCGCAACGCTAGGAAGAAAGAAATTCAAAGAATATAAACGAAGAAGCCATGGAAGAGAACGCTTACCAGATTAGCTCTCGCTCCCACTCCCACTCCAACGCCCGATTTCTTGAATTTTTTTGTTTTTTTGAAGGAGCTGAGAGAACGAAAACTCGCTCCATAAAAATAAAACAGAAGAAAAAGTGAAGCATTTTTAATTTATTAAATATTTAAATTAGAATTTGATTAACGAGTATCTTAAGAATATTGTTTAATAATGTTTAAATTAATTATATATTATATGTTTCACATACTCCCATGTATTATATACAAGTTTGCTAAGTTTTTTTTTATCAAGTAACAAAACTCCTTAAATTAAATTAAGGCATCATTAATAAGTTTTGACTAGGCTTAGGTTGATAATAAGGGCCCCTAAATCCATTTATATAAACTTTCATATATATGAATTTTGTTCAATATGAATCTTTCACTTTCAAATAAGATTAAAACAAATTTGATGGTAACATTATTTTTATATAAAATTTATCTATGAATTGAATTTTCCAATAATGAATAGTTTTTTCTTTCTCTTTTACTCTACTATGCATTTTTAGTAAAATAATAAAATTATTAATTGGGAAACTAATTAAGTAGCATGTCAGTAAATATTTTCCGGTAATATTTTCACAAAATTAAAGACCCACACAATTTAATAACATAATCATAATGGAAGTAATTATGTATGTCAGTAAATAAAGTACATTTTTTTTTCATGATTTAATATGCAAATCTGATTGTTGTGGTGCATTTTAAAATTTTGTATTGTAATTTTTTTTTTATTTGTATTGAATTTTATTATTATTTTTTAAAAGCCCATAACAAAATCTAAATTAAGCCCATATAGGTTAATCTCAACCTAATAACAAATATTTTTAAGCCCAAGAAATATAGGTCGGCCCAAGCCTAGCCCATTGAGTAGTGAAAACCATGGGCCTGGGCCTTAAGTTTCAGGCTACACGTGGCCCATTGATAAGGCTTAGTATGTCACATATTTTAGGAGTGTTTGGCAAGAGTTTTTGTTTGGCTTTATGAGCTAAAATCCACAAAAATAGGTTAAAACAGTCAATAAGACAAAATGTCATATAAACCTATAATCATTTTACTTTTTTTCTTACAAACATCATATCCAACTACAAAAAAATCTAATTATCTTTCCAAACACAAAAATTTTAGTCTACTAAAAAAGTCAAAAACTAAAATAATAACTTTTCAAACCCTCACTTTATTTAAGAAATAGATTCTAGTTGAGTGTTGAGAAGACGTATTTTTGGCTCAGAGAGTTTTGTCCTTTATAATCCAAAATATTCATCTTATACGTTCTACTAAGTAGATTATTCATAAAAATAAATAAATAAATAAAAATTAAAAAAAAATATTGATTTATTAATATTTGATCAACTCAATTTTTAATATTAATATTCTATTCAGTAATCACAATTTGAAACGCTAGGTTCCAAGATTAGTCTACCAAAGTATAATAATATCTCTAAAAAATAAAAAATAAAAACACTTTAAAATAAGTCCATGATTTAGTTGTATAATACACCCAATAACTTCCCAGACACCTTGCCATTGCAATTAGATCAACTCAACATCTTCACCTAAGTTTATCAATAGAAACTTAATTTTTGTTTTAATGTCCCTTTTGCAATTCACTTTGACACACTGAAAAGAAAATGAAGAAAAAGCCATTGTTACATCGAAGAGTGGTGGTGATGGTGGTGCATTCGACGCCCCGCCCACCCACAAAAGTAGTTGGCCGGCAACCGTGTTCGCTGGGGCTTCTGTCGATCTCCTGTCGATGGTGGTGATATGATGGGCGTAAATTCTTCAATAGCAGGGTGATCCGAATGGTTCATTGGTTGCATAGAAAGACCGTTGCCATCCACGCATCGCTTGTCAAGCCAAGCAATGATGTCGGAGAAGACAATCTCAATGTTGCTGTCTGACTCGCCTGATGTCAAAGCATGCCACATTCCCGGGTACAGTTTTATGGTCTTGTCCTTGCTGCTGGCTTGTTCATACAATGCCTTGCTCACTTCTGGATCTGTCACTGTATCCGCCTCACCGTGCAACACGAAGAATGGTAGCGTCACCTAGAGAGGAAAAAAAAAAAAAAACCTTCACAAAGTACAAACTAAACGATAATAAAGTACTTAGAGTTACAAATAAGTCAAGTTGAGCTTTGTAAGGCTTGAGCTTAAAGTACTTAGAGTTACAAATAAGTCAAGTTGAGCTTTGTAAGGCTTGAGCTTGGCACACTTGTTTATCAAGCTCAAAAGTCAATCTTGAGATTGGCTCAAAAAGTAGTCCATCTCGTCTCAAATCTCAATCATAAAGAAAAAGTTGAACTCGATAATTAAGCTGGTCAACTCATTATCATTCTATCCATATAAAATACATTTTATATTATTTAATACATAAATAATATATTTATCCTATTGCTCTTTTTTTTTGGAACTATTTTCATCCTATTACTAAATAGATAATAAATGAAATGAGTTTATTCTAGCTCGAGTTTGACTTGTTTATTAAATGAGCCTAAAATATGGGTTTGATCTCGCAAATAACTCGGTTCATTTGCAGCCTACTTGTCCTGTGTGCATATTGTGGTAGAAAGTGAGCCTAATAATACTGCGAAATAGAATGATCGGAAAGTGGAGAAAATAACAACCTTGTCTAAACTGTCCTCAAGGCTCATGCTAGTTCTGAGCATTTCCAGCGCTGTTTTCAACCTTGGCTTCTCTTGGTATATCAACTTGTTGTTACGAACCTGAACCATATTTATTGAGATGTAGAGAGATCATCAATGCCATTGAATATTACTTTACCTAATTAACAATTGACTTGTAAGCCTCACCTCTTCTCGCTTGACAGGGTCCTTGAAGGCTGAATCAATGACGTCCTTTGTGGGGACTATCTTCCATTTAGGTATGATCTCTTCTACTTTTGTCAGTATGTTCACAACCACCGGGTGTGGTTTCACCTTCTCTGATATCTAGCATTGACAAACACCAACCAACATTAAATTACTTGTTCAATGCTATTTATTGTGCTACATCCCACATTCCCAACCAGAAAAATACATGAAAATAAATAACTCCTTTGCGCATCATGAAGTAATGTATTTCCATACCTTACACATGGGTGCAACGAGCACAGCACCGTGCCAGACATTCGGGTCCTTCTTGTGTATTAGTAGAGCGACTGCTCCTCCCATCGATTCGCCATACAAGAACCTTTTCTTATCCCTGTATTCTTCCTGTGCTGATATCCATCAAAACAACTTTAGAGACACTACAAAAAATTAAGATTTTAGAGATTAAAATTTGAGAACAAAATTATTTTTTAGGGACTAAATATTTTTGTTGTGAAAAGTGCCGTTATTTTATTTTTAGCAACAAAAATTAAACATTAGTGATGCACTATTATCCCTTTAGGACCAAACTTTTTATTTAAAAAGTAAATCATTTTGAGACCAAATTATTTTGTCTCTAAAAGTCTACTTATTAGTAACATTTTCAAAATTATCGCTAAAAGTCTTATTTTAGATTTTTCAAAATGACCTTTTAGCGACTATTCTCATGACGATAGAAATTAGTCTCTAAATATCTTTTACAACAAAATTTTCATTTTTAAAGATCAAAACATTGATTTCTAAAATTTTTATTTGTTGTAGTGAGGGTTGTATTATTTCCAACAAAACACTAGCGCCCGGGGCTAGGACCCGGGACCATGAGCGGGCTCAAGCACCTCTTTTACCAGGGGCATTGCCCATTGCTCAAGACCAACTATCCAAACCACAAAGTAGTACTCGAGCAATTTGCTCATAATACTAAGCAAGTTTGCTATCAGATTTTTATTTTTTCTCATAATACTAAGGTCAAGTTTGACAATATCAAAATAATCTATTTTTTTATTTTTTTAATTTTTTTTATCACATCACTTCTTTATTTTTCTACACATTTTTTTATAAAAAGATAAAAAATACACTTATTTAAGTCTTTTGAAATCCTAAACAAGTTTGCTATCAGATTTTTATTTTTTTGGTGCAAATGTGATGGGACATAAAACGGAAAGTAGCTCCCTCACTGATGGCAATTCCAAATCAGACAACAGTGAGATTCAATCTTGAATTTATGGTATTATCACCAACTGAAGTTGTTAAAATCTTTTATTGTCATAATTAAATTAAGTTTGATTACTATAAAATAATTTATTTTATTATTATTATTATTTTTTTGTATATCTCTTTAAAAAAAAATAAATATTAAATTTATTTAAGTCATTTCAAATACGACAATACTAGGTAGTTCAAATTTTTGTGGCTCAAATAGTTCAAATCTGTCAAAACGACGTCGTTTTGACAAATTTTGAGTGTAAAACGACGTCATTTTGACAAATTTAAACCATTTAAATCATAAATATTTGAGCTACCAAACATTTCCCTTTCAAATAAGTGCCTAGTCAAATAAGTGCCTAGCGCAAGGGCGAGGTGAGAGTGGAAGTCACTTACCACAAACAGATTTGAAAAAGTTGCTACAGTCATTGACGATATTGTTGAACTTCTTGATGTAACAACGGGCGCCCATGGATCGCCCGTGCCCCTCATAGTCCATCCCAATCACAGCGTACCCATAGCTCGCTAGCCTGGTCCCACATCCTAACAGCATTGAGATTTGTAATTATATTATGTTAGGTCACATCGAGATTTGTAATTATGTTATGCTAGGTAACGTATTTTGAGGTGTTTTGAAACTTCATTTTTTTAAGTTTGTAATAAAAATTAAAGTTGACTTTTTTTTATTTTTTTTTTCATTTGAAAAGTTAATTTTTAGCTATTAGTAAAATTACAATTCTACTCCTTATAAGTCAAAATGTATTATAAGAATGAAATTGTAAATATTTTAAATTGAATGGAGATAATTTAATCATTTTATTATGATTTAACATTATAAATAAATATTAATAAAAAAAATTAAAAATAACTTTTTACTAACTTTTCAATTATTTATCTAAAAAAATCAAAAATTTAATTAAAAACTAAAAAATTACTTTTTACTATCTCCCTAAAATAAGCCTTCATTGATGGCTTAAGATCTAAATAACATCCCTCAGTACCTTGTTAAATTTTTTTGAAAAGAAGAATTTTAATACAGGTCAACTCGGTTGTTTTGGTTGGCAAACAATTAATTGTTGTGTCAGTCACTGAATCCCACCTAGATTTTCATAAAATGAAGGATGCTAAAACCTTGTAACCAATGTGTCACTAGGCAAGACATTCCCTAGGGCTGGTTTGGAATTTCTTAAAAAATTTAAGAAGTCATAAAAAAATTAAAAAATTATTATTATTTATTAAAAAAAATATTTTTCACATATTTATACAAATAAAAAAAAATACAATTGACAAGGTAATGACATGATGGGCACGTCAGTGACCAGGAAAAAAAAGAGGAGTAAAATATTTATTAAATTACATAGTAGAGTTGGGCTTGTGGGGGCTCACCATGAGTTCCGTTTTGATAATCTGAACTGTTAAATATGTAGAACTCATCTAGTACTATATGCTTGTAAAAAATTACGTCCATCGGATATCGCTAAATACATGATAAAATCAGTTTTGTATAAAAATGGATGGTGTTATAGTTAATAGTTAACAAAAAAACTTATATGATCAGATAGCTATCGATATCCAATCAACGTGATTTTTTACAAACATATAGTACTCGACGAGTTCTACACATTGAACGGTTCCAATTAGTAAAACGAGACCCGTGGTGGGCCCCCATAGGTCGAACTAAACCGACCAATTTATGCCCGAAAAATAGAGAATCAATCTATTCCAAAGTCCTCCGCCGCGCTGCCCCTTTAAGCTGCCCGCCATACAGCCTATTCATTACTTTATTCCCCTATACACTTATTTATATAACTTTTTAATACACATTTTTTCATAAAAAGTTAACTCAAACATTCATATTTTTTTTCTCAACTTTTTAGTCCAAAAAAATAAAAAGTACACTTATTTAGGACACCCCAAACAACCCCTTAAATTTTTGAATCCGACAAAAACTATTTCTACCAAAATAAACCTCAGGATATATTGAATGTTAATTTAAGTTTAGTTGTGTTTTCGTGTTCATTTTTTTGACCGTGGTTATAATTTGATTAATCAGGAGATGCAACAAAAATTTAAAATAAAATAGCTCTACTTCATATTAACTTCACAAGAAAAATAGCTTTGATATTTATTAGTTCTCAACTAGAAGTCTATAACCAAGTGCATAACTATTCGGCTTCAGTACAACACGATTCCACACTACTTGTCATGACACGATTTGTTTGAAGTCCTAACAACAAATGACAAATCCAATGAATTTTTTTCGAAAGCCATGACAGAGCACTCTAGTCCATGATGCAAAGTAGTTTTAAATTGGAAGCAAAAATAATCAAAGTTCTAGTACAGAGTACCTACTCATGTTTTAAGGCATTCATAAATAAAAAAGATAATTAATGAATGTACAATAATTAGGAATTTTTTGATTTCCAATAAATTTTAGCTTGGTTTTATTTATTACCAATATAATAATAGAGTTCAGACCTATTAATATAATAAAGGGAAAATTACATATATCCCTCGAGGTTTAACAAAATTATAGATGCTTTCTGAGGTTTGAGAAATTATAGATATTCCCTTGAAGGTACTATTTGCATAACAAATTATAAGATAAATTGCTATGAAAATATAAATTTCAGGGGACAATTTGTTATAAAAACATAAACCTCATGAAGGTATTTGTAATTTTTAAAACTTCAAGTAATATCTGTAATTTAAATAAATCTCGAGAGAGGTATATGTAATTTACCCTATAATAAATTTACAAGAAAAGAGAAAGAAATAGAAGAAGTTGGAATAAAGAGAAAAAAAAAATAAACAAAAGATTAGGGATGGCAATTTAAAACCAACCCGGCGGGGATCCCCGATCCCGATCTCGATTTATGCGATTTTTTCCCGAAAAATACCCCCGACGGGGAGAAGACGGTATTTGAAAATCAATTCCCGATCTGTTTCGGGCCGGGGACGGTGATCAGTGTTCAAGCCCCGGCCCGGCCCCAGCCCTATCCCCGAGTATCCCCAAAATAAAATTACATTTATACCCTTTATATGTATATATATAATAAACCCCTTAATTATATGCATATATATATATATATAATATATCTGTGATCTCACTCTTTAATACCTTTATGACTCTACTCTCTCTCTTAACTCTATCGTTTTCTCTGGCCCCGACCCCCTCTCTCTCCACTGCTTAAAGTACTTAGAGTTACAAATAAGTCAAGTTGAGCTTTGTAAGGCTTGAGCTTAAAGTACTTAGAGTTACAAATAAGTCAAGTTGAGCTTTGTAAGGCTTGAGCTTAAAGTACTTAGAGCTACAAATAAGTCAAGTTGAGCTTTGTAAGGCTTGAGCTTGGCACACTTGTTTATCAAGCTCAAAAGTCAATCTCGAGATTGGCTCAAAAAGTAGTCCATCTCGTCTCAAATCTCAATCATAAAGAAAAAGTTAAACTCGATAATTAAGCTGGTCAACTCATTATTATTCTATCCATATAAAATACATTTTATATTATTTAATACATAAATAATATATTTATCCTATTACTCTCTTTTTTTTGAACTATTTTCATCCTATTACTAAATAGATAATAAATGAAATGAGCTTATTCTAGCTCGAGTTTGACTTGTTTATTAAATGAGCCTAAAATATGGGTTTGAGCTCGCAAATAACTCGGTTCATTTGCAGCCTACTTGTCCTGTGTGCATATTGTGGTAGAAAGTGAGCCTAATAATACTGGGAAATAGAATGATCGGAAAGTGGAGAAAATAACAACCTTGTCTAAACTGTCCTCAAGGCTCATGCTAGTTCTGAGCATTTCCAGCGCTGTTTTCAACCTTGGCTTCTCTTGGTATATCAACTTGTTGTTACGAACCTGAACCATATTTATTGAGATGTAGAGAGATCATCAATGCCATTGAATATTACTTTACCTAATTAACAATTGACTTGTAAGCCTCACCTCTTCTCGCTTGACAGGGTCCTTGAAGGCTGAATCAATGACGTCCTTTGTGGGGACTATCTTCCATTTAGGTATGATCTCTTCTACTTTTGTCAGTATGTTCACAACCACCGGGTGTGGTTTCACCTTCTCTGATATCTAGCATTTACAAACACCAACCAACATTAAATTACTTGTTCAATGCTATTTATTGTGCTATATCCCACATTCCCAACCAGAAAAATACATGAAAATAAATAACTCCTTTGCGCATCATGAAGTAATGTATTTCCATACCTTACACATGGGTGCAACGAGCACAGCACCGTGCCAGACATTCGGGTCCTTCCTGTGTATTAGTAGAGCCACTGCTCCTCCCATCGATTCGCCATACAAGAACCTTTTCTTATCCCTGTATTCTTCCTGTGCTGATATCCATCAAAACAACTTTAGAGGCAGTACAAAAAATTAAGGGTTTAGAGATTAAAATTTAAGAATAAAATTATTTTTTAGGGACTAAATATTTTTGTTGTGAAAAGTACCGTTATTTTATTTTTAGCAACAAAAATTAAACATTAGTGATGCATTATTATCCCTTTAGGACCAAACTTTTTATTTAAAAAGTAAATCATTTTGAGACCAAATTATTTTGTCCCTAAAAGTCTACTTATTAATAACATTTTCAAAGTTGTCGCTAAAAGTCTTATTTTAGATTTTTCAAAATGACCTTTAACGACTATCCTCATGTCGATAGAAATTAGTCTCTAAATGTCTTTTACAACAAAATTTTTAATTTTAAAGATCAAAACATTAATTTCTAAAATTTTTATTTGTTGTAGTGAAGGTTGTATTATTTCCAACAAAACACTAGCGACCGGGGCTAGTACCCGGGACCATGAGCGGGCTCAAGCACCTCTTTTACTAGGGGCATTGCCCATTGCTCAAGACCAACTATCCAAACCACAAAGTAGTACTCGAGCAATTTGCTCAGAATACTAAGCAAGTTTGCTATCAGATTTTTATTTTTTCTCATAATACTGAGGTCAAGTTTGACAATATCAAAATAAATATTTTTTTTTTTTTTCATCACATCATTTTTTTATTTTTTTACACATCTTTTCATAAAAAAATAAAAAATACATTTATTTAAGTCTTCTTAAATCCTAAACAAGTTTGCTATCAGATTTTTATTTTTTCGGTGCAAATGTGAGGGGACATAAAACGGAAAGTAGCTCCGTCACTGATGGCAATTCCAAATCAGACAACAGTGAGATTCAATCTTGAATTTATGGTATTATCACCAACTGAAGTTATTAAAATCTTTTATTGCCATAATTAGATTAAGTTTGACAATTATAAAATAATTTATTTTTTTATTATTTTTCTATATCTTTTAAAAAAAATAAAAAATACGCTTATTTAAATCATTTCAAATAACTATCAATCATTTCAAATAACTCCCTAGTGCAAGGGCGAGGTGAGAGTGGAAGTCACTTACCACAAACAGATTTGAAAAAGTTGCTACAGTCATTGACGATATTGTTGAACTTCTTGATGTAACAACGGGCGCCCATGGATCGCCCGTGCCCCTCGTAGTCCATCCCAATCACAGCGTACCCATAGCTCGCTAGCCTGGTCCCACATCCTAACAGCATTGAGATTTGTAATTATATTATGTTAGGTAGCATATTTTGAGGTGGTTTGAAATTTGACTTTTAATCATTTTTTAAAGTTTGTAATAAAAGTTAAATTTGACTCTTTTATAAATATTTTTTTTATTTAAAAAGTTGATTTTTGACTATTAATAAAATTACGATTCTATTTTTTATAAGTCAAAATGTATTATAAAAGTGAAGTTGTAAATATTTTAAATTGAATGGAGATAATTTGATAATTTTATTATGATTTAACATCATAAATAAATATTAATAAAAAAAATCAAAAATTACTTTTTACTAACTTTTCAATTATTTATCTAAAAAAATCAAAAATTTAATTAAAAACTAAAATACTACTTTTTACTATCTCTCTAAAATAAGCCTTCATTGATGGCTTAAGATCTAAATAACATCCCTCAGTACCTTGTTAAATTTTTTTGAAAAGAAGAATTTTAAGACAGGTCAACTTGGTTGTTTTGGTTGGCAAACAATTAATTGTTGTGTCAGTCACTGAATCCACCTAGATTTTCATAAAATGAAGGATGCTAAAACCTTGTAACCAATGTGTCACTAGGCAAGACATTCCCTAGGGCTGGTTTGGAATTTCTTAAAAAATTTAAGAAGTCAAAAAATTATTAAAAAAATATTTTTCACATATTTATACAAATCAAAAAAAATACAATTAACAAGGTAATGGCATGATGGGCACGTCAGTGACCAGGGAAAAAAAGAGGAGTAAAATATTTATTAAATTGGATGGTAGAGTTGGGCCTGTGGGGGCTCACCATGAGTTCCGTTTTGATAATCTGAACTGTTAATATGTAGAACTCGTCTAGTACTATATGCTTGTAAAAAATTACGTCTATCAGATATCGCTAAATACATGATCAAATCAGTTTTGTATAAAAATGAATGGTGTTATAGTTAATAGTTAACAAAAAAACTTATACGATCAGATAGCTATCGATATCCAATCAACGTGATTTTTTACAAATATATAGTACTCGACGAGTTCTACACATTGAACGGTTTCGATTAGTAAAACGAGACCCGTGGTGGGCTCTCATGGGTCGAACTAAACCGACCAATTTATGCCCGAAAAATAGAGAATCAATCTATTCCAAAGTCCTCCACCGCGCTGCCCTTTAAGCTACCCGCCGTACAGCCTATTCATTACTTTATTCCCCTATACACTTATTTATATAACTTTTTAATACATATTTTTTCATAAAAAGTTAACTCAAACATCTATATTTTTTTCCTCAACTTTTTAGTCCAAAAAGACAAAAAATACACTTGTTTAGGATATCCCAAACAACCCCTTAAATTTTTGAATCCGACAAAAACTATTTCTACCAAAATAAACCTCAGGATATATTGAATGTTAATTTAAGCTTAGTTGTGTTTTCGTGTTCATTTTTTTGACCGTGGTTATAATTTGATTAATCAGGAGATGCAACAATAATTTAAAATAAAATAGCTCTACTTCATATTAACTTCATAAGAAAAATAGCTTTGATATTTATTAGTTCTCAACTAGAAGTCTATAACCAAGTGCATAACTATTCGGCTTCAGTACAACACGATTCCACACTACTTGTCATGACACGATTTGTTTGAAGTCCTAACAACAAATGACAAATCCAATGAATTTTTTTCGAAAGCCATGACAGAGCACTCTAGTCCATGATGCAAAGTAGTTTTAAATTGGAAGCAAAAATAATCAAAGTTCTAGTACAGAGTACCTACTCATGTTTTAAGGCATTCATAAATAAAAAAGATAATTAATGAATGTACAATAATTAGGAATTTTTTGATTTCCAATAAATTTTAGCTTGGTTTTATTTATTACCAATATAATAATAGAGTTCAGACCTATTAATATAATAAAGGGCAAATTACATATATCCCTCGAGGTTTAACAAAATTATAGATGCTTTCTGAGGTTTGAGAAATTATAGATGCTCCCTTGAAGGTACTATTTGCATAACAAATTATAAGGTAAATTGCTATGAAAATATAAATTTCAGGGGACAATTTGTTATAAAAACATAAACCTCATGAAGGTATTTGTAATTTTTAAAATTTCAAGTGATATCTGTAATTTAAATAAACCTCGAGAGAGGTATATGTAATTTACCCTATAATAAATTTACAAGAAAAGAGAAAGAAATAGAAAAAGTTGGAATAAAGAGAAAAAAAAAATAAACAAAAGATTAGGGATGGCAATTTAAAACCGACCCGGCGAGGATCCCCGATCCCGATCTCGATTTATGCGATTTTTCCCCGAAAAATACCCCCGACGAGGAGAAGACGGTATTTGAAAATCAATCCCCGATCTGTTTCGGGCCGGGGACGGTGATCAGTGTTCAAGCCTTGGCCCGGCCCTGGCCCTATCCCCGAGTATCCCCGAAATAAAATTACATTTATACCCTTTATATGTATATATATAATAAACCCCTTAATTATATGCATATATATATATAATATATCTGTGATCTCACTCTTTAATACCTTTCTGACTCTACTCTCTCTCTTAACTCTATCGTTTTCTCTGGCCCCGACCCCCTTTCTCTCCACTTCGTCTCTCTCTATTCTATCTTCCCTCTCTCTCTTTCAGTAGATCGAAGGGACAGTCAGCGTCGGAGGCGATAACGAAGGGACAATCGGCGCCGGAGGCAGTCGACGTCGGAGGGAAGCAGTCCGATCGTGTACAGGGGAAAGCGTCGGCGTCGGAGGCAGATCTCAGATCTGTTTGTGACGCAGATCTCTCTCTTTCTCTCGTCCACTCTCTCTCTCTCTCTTTGTGACACAGATCTCAGATCTGTTTGTGTCCATTTTTTAATCTGTTTGTTAATCTGTCCATTTTTTTTATTTTTTGTTTATAATCTGTTGATATTTTTGTTGATATGTTGATGTTGGTGTTGATGATTCGGTTGACGTTGTCGATGATGATGATTCTGTTGTTGTTGTTGTTGATGATGGGGGGTGTTGAAACAGATTTGGGGGCGGGGAATTTTCGGGATCGGGGAAACCCGATCCCCGGTAGGGGGCGGGGATGGGGAGGGTAGTAGGTTCCCCGTCGGGGATCGAGGCCGAGGCCGGGGCCGGGAAGATTTTCACAATCGGAGATCGGGGACGGGGAGGGTGATCCCCGGCCCCGCCCCGTTGTCATTCCTACAAAAGATGATGGATCTTTACTGCCCATGACTCATAATGAAGAGGCTCACACCAACCAATGCATCTGAATGAATAAAGAAAGGCAAAATATAAGATGAATGGGCATGGTCTCTTTATTGGCTTGGTTGGTTATATGTGAGGTCAAGGCGGAGAGTGTGGACAAGTAAAGGTTGTATGGGCATACTGCAAAAAGAATAGGGTTTTTATTTTGAAAAAAAATTAAGAATCATGAAAATGATCGTGAAATATTTATGATCTTTAAATTATCTTGATTAGTATATGATATTTTATTTTAAGTGTAATTTAAAAATCACAAAATTTTCATAATTATTTTTTTGAATTTTTTTTTATAATATTTAGCATTACTTTTTATTTTCTATTGCACTGTCTGATTACTTGGATTCAATGAAGATAATCATCAACTGATTTAGGCCTGTTCGGAAATAAATTATTTTAGTGACTGGTAGTAGTCAGACGAAACTTTGAAAGATTGGAAAGTTGATAATAAACAAGTCAACAACCATTCAAGTCACAAATTTTAATAAAAGCACTTGACCTTTGGGGCCATTCCAAGGCCTATTACTCCATACATACATGGGATGGAAAACGAGACTAGTTGGGGCCACTCAACTTTGTCAAATAATTACGTTATATAAATAAATTTCTCACAAATTGATGTGTCTTTTAAAATATTAATAAGTTAAGTCTCATTTTATATTTTAAAATTATATCATTCCATGCTATATCAATTTATATAAAAAGTTTGTAAATTTTTTTTATTTGTATAAAATTTTCCTACTTTATATTTGTAAAACGAATATTACATGTTGAGGTTAATGACCTAGAGTGGATACCCTTCTTAAAAAAACAAAACAAAATAACAAGGGTTAGGCCCTGATACTTCTTATTTCCAATCAAGGGCATCAAAAAGCCAGATTATGGATTTTAAAATTAAGTGGGAATTTTTTATGGGACAATTAACAGTGAAATTGTTTTCAAACAAGTGATTTGATTGAAGAGCTTGTGCGCACCAGATTGAAATTATCCCGAGCAATTTAAACATTGGACTCAGATATTGGCATGCAACAAAAATTGGGAAAACTACAAAGAGAAAAGGAAAAGGAAATGGAGAATGATGAGAAAATGAAAAAACCCAGAAGACATTTTTTACCTCTCATGAAATCACTGCATTCCATGCCATAACCTGCAATGCCCATTAACTTCTACTTTATAAACAAAAAGAAGAGAACATGCATACTTATATGTGAGAGAGAGAGAGAGAGAGAGAGACCATGGCAAAGGAAAACAAGAGCCTTTGGAGAAGAGAAAGGCAACCATCTGCAAGTAAAGAGCTGAACTCCTCTGGAATTCCTTATATACTCCTAATGTCATTCAACCAATTAAGCACGATCATCGTCAAAAAGGAAAAAAAATACCCAAAAAAAGCCACACAAAAATAAAATAAAATTGCACATCAATAGACAGGAAAGAAAAAAAAGAAAAGAAAGACCCACCTCGTGATATTCAACCTCCATGTTATGCAATAATGAGTGAAGAAGAAGAAACTAAGCAATCAGTATAGACATGCCCACGAACTCATGCGCGGTGGTAGATCTGTGGTAGAAATGAAAATCCTTCTCTAGAAAGACTGGGGATAAGATCACCACATCAAGAGAGGAAGAGGACAACCATGCGTTGCAAGAGGACAGAGAGAGAGTTTTCTAAGAATAGACAGTCAGTCACATTTACAGAGAGAGTAAACTTTGGAGGTGTTGGATTTGCTTTGGGTTTGGTTTGTTTCGTTGACATATTGAAACTTTGAATTGGCTCCAAAAGATTTTCCAGGTTACGTGTACAAGAGCACGCATTCACTGTATCATACATTTTTTATTTATTTATTATTATGGTAAATTGAATTTAAAAAAATATATTTTTAATTTTATGAATTTAATATAATTATATTAATTTTAAAATAAAAAAATAAAGTAAAAATGAAAGATAGAGACATGATCAAATCACTTACGGACGAATTGATGTTTGAAATGATTTGTCAATTATAAAAATTGGTCAACCCCACTGGATTGAAACCTTAATCCAAAATAAAAGGAACTGGTAAGCTGTTTAATTTTGAAGCCAATTTAAAAAATATATATTTATTCCTAAGCACACAAACCCATGATCCGATTATTGATCACCTACCTGTATTAATGGGTCCCCCTCCAATAAAATAAGAGAAATACTCAAATTACTGTTAATCACCAGAGTCATTATTCTAGAAATGCGATCTCCGCAATACAAGTTCCTGGTCAATCACCATCTAGTTTTGGACATTTAGCTCCAGCAGCATATGATTTATTAAAGGGATTTAGATCATCTTCTGTGAGCCATGTATTTCGGGAAGGAAATTCTGTTGTAAAAAATTTAAATAAAAAAAAAATAATGAAGTCAATTAGTAATTAAAAAATATAAAAAAATTTAATGAGTTAAAAATTCAATCACGAATTAAGTTAATTAATAGTTAAAAAGCATAATGTATACAATGAGTTAAAAAATTCAATTATAAAATATAATCTAGTGTAATCATCATCATCATTATCATCATCATCATCAATACTCCGTACTTTATGTAAACATAATGAATATAATCTATTTATTTATTTTTTTAAAAAACATAGATTAAAAATACAATCATTGTATTAGAAAATAAATTAAGTTCAATCACATTCACAAAATACAATCTAATCATCATTAATAGTTAATACTTTATGTAAACCTAATAAATATAATCATTTTTAATCATCAATAGTTAATACTTTATGTGACCCTAATTAATACAATCATTCTTAACACAATCTTTTTTTTATTTTAAATATAGATTAAAAATACAATCACCATATTGAAAAATAAATTAAGCCCAATCACACTCACAAAATACAATCCAATTATCATCAATAGTTAATACTTTATGTGAACTTAATGAATAAAATCATTCTTAATCATCAATAGTTAATACTTTATGTAAACCTAATGAATACAATCATTCTTAATCAATTTAAAAACATAATCACCATATTAAAAAATAAATAATTTACTTACAGATTTTGAAAGTTTTTTCTTCCAAGATTCTGTCGTAGTCTCTCTTCCAAATTGCTGTGTAAGTTGCTACCGCTATGTAAGGATTAGACTACTGTGATAGGTTTAGGGTTTAGGTTTGGACTGCTGTGTTAGGTTTAGGTTATTCTCTCTCTCCCAAAGGCTTAGGTTGCTGCGTTAGGTTTAGGTTATTCTCTCTCTCCCAAAGTTTAGGTTGCTGTGATAGGGGGTGATAGGATTTAGGTTAATATCTATATATTATTTAAATCAGAGAGCGGGAAAGTTTGTTCTTTTTAAAAAAAAATCAGAAAATTAAGAAATTAGGATTGGAATAATGGAATTCCCACAAGGTTTGTAGGTTAAAAAGATCCTTTTCCTTATATAATAGATTTCACTTTTCTAAATAATAATAAAAAAAAAACTTACTAGAGTCACTTGGACAAAATATGCGTAATATTTAAAAGAAAAAAAAACTATTTCCGAAAAGCAATAGTAGCGTTTGCTAGAGTTTTAAAATTATGATTTGATAATACAGTTATATTTTGAGTTTATGAGTTTTGGAATTATGATTTTAGTGTTAAAAATTTGTTTGGTTATAAGTTTTGAAAAAAGAGTTTTGAATTGAGTTTAAAATTTTTGATGTGACATATGATATTTGATTCAAAAACTTAGAACTCATAACTAAACACACAACTTAAAATTCTATTCAAAACTCATAAAAAAAATTTAAAAAAATTCCGAAAATATTTTTTATTTAAAATATAAAAATAACAAGTGCAAAAAAAAAAAAAACACTATTCTAGTCAACCAGTCGGACGTCCGGGAGAATGACCGAATAGGCATGTTTTCTACAGTGGGCGTGGAATCAAATTTTGAAAACTCTCACCAAGCACCACACTCAAACCAAGGGTTAGAATTAAATTTACAAAGCTCTACCAAACAGAGCCATATGTTTACAGTAATACTATAAATTTAGACCTAACTATCCAGAAATTATCTAGAATTATCATATAATAGTTTAAATTTATTCTATACATGAACCCCATACTACACAAACTCAATTTCAACCACACTATCACTCTTTTGTGTAATTTCGAGGACCATAAGTCTAGGTCCCCAGACTTATTCATATTTTTAAGGACTTGGGTTCTCTCCAGTTACTAAAGAGGAGATTTTGACATTGGTGGGCCTTATTTGGGGCTTATGTTGATAATTCAAACCGTTGAATATGTATAATTTGTTGAGTATATCATCTCTGCAAAAAATTACGTTGATCAAATATCAATAACTACTTGATCAGATCGTATTTTCAAAATAATTTTCATAGTAAATTGCAATAGAAATACAAATTGATCAAGTAGTTATCAAATAACGTGGTTTTTTCATAAAAATAATATACTCAACATGTTCTATACATTGAACGATTTTGATTATAAATATGGGTCCAGATTAAGGCCCACCAATACTGAACTATTCTCTCCTGTGTGGACAAAATAAAAATTTAGAGAAATCAATATCATAATTGGAAATACTAATGCGTGACAGCCCTCACCTCTGATTAGTGCTAATCTATGATTAAGCATGATAAGTAATGGATCATACTGAAATTCTGAACTGATTGCATAAGTATACTGTTTTAAATGCATTTCTATCAGTTAGTCATTAAATGATCTGTTCATGTTTTATCTTTGAATTGCGAATTGAAGGTCCTATCGGCGACCGAATCAGAAATCGATTGGTATTTTATGCAAATTAGAATTTATGTGATTTTATGGCAGATTTAATGTAAATTTGATTTGGAATGATTAAATTAGATTAAATAATGCTAGTTTAGTGGAATATAGGTTATTACCAAATTGCCACTTAGTGGGCCACCATTACAAACTTGTTTGGCACCTTGTAGACGCGGCCGAACGTCCCGGGAAAATTCTGTTTTGTTCATTGGGCTCACTACAGTTTGGACTCAATGTCACGGTTCTTAATCTGATCTTGCAAAGTGCAATGCGAGATTGATAAATCACCAAAGAGTCAAAATCCGGCAAATCGTTTTGAAAAACTGATTTTTAGAAAGAAGTGCCAAACATACAAAGTCGCCACCTAAATATTTTATTTTTGAAAAATTTAAGAAATCCTGACTCGTGCCTAAGGCCACATGTCCGTCATCACCAAAGTTGCCTCAGCTCGGGAACTTGGGTACGAGAGGGGAAGGTCATGCAATGAGCACCCCCGCTCGCCCGATCAAAGATCGGCCTTTACTAACATGAATAATTTTGTTTTTGAAAACACAATGTGCTCTTATTTTCCGGTTATTTAACCTAGAATTACTATGTGATGCGCACAGCATATAAGTATAGACTAGATCGCCTAAGTTGGAACAAAACATCTCATGTTTGTTTTTAAAAGCGGTTTGCTACTCGCAAGTAGGCTAAAATGCAGATTTTGCCACCCTCAAGTGGGCTTAAAAAACATGGTGATTTGTCACTCTTGAGTGGGCTTAAAACTCACAATCAATGAATTGTTCCAATTCAAGTAATCCAACCTTCACCCACAGGCATTCAGGCAGTTATATAGGAAGAGATCGCGAGGCGTTCCGAACAAGGCAACTCGTGCATGCATGCATCCTTTGTCATCAAAGCAGAGTTGAGGCAGCCTACATCATATAGTTTATATACTTATTTATTGCTAACTTAGTTGATTTGTTAATTAGTTAGAGTTGTGTAATAATTAACTGTAGCTTGTTATTCATTCTGTGTGTAATAACTAGTTTAATTAGATTAGCTTAGATTAGTTAGTTGGTTTTGTATTATTCATTCGGACACTCCGTCGAGATAGCACAACTGTTGTAAATAAGTGTGCGTGTGTGTGATGCATGTCTTCCAACCCCCATTTCTTTCTCCCTTTTATTTACCAGCTTACAATGGTTATTTTTAGGCATGTTTCAATTAGCATCCTTATGCTCGCATGTTTCATCCATTCATTTGTCTTGCATGCACCAGGCTCGGCGCATCATACTAACTGCATTGTATTTCAATTCCTGTTTGAATACATGTATCAAATTGCATTTCACATGACATTTTAGAATAGCCGAGCCTATCTTAGTTCCATTTTGTATGTGTTGCATTAGCATTCTTGACATAGTTAGGATCATGCATTGATTTCTAACATAGCTTTTGTCTTGGCTCGGAGTACTTGGTAAGTGTTTATGCTTTAGCATCCTTGCATGGTGTGAGCGACTGTCATGATAGCATGCTTGCCATGAGGCTAACTGCT